TGTAGGTCCCATAATTTTTTAATTTAAAAATTAGGTTTTATCAACAATAAAATATCGATCAAAAAAATAAAAATAAAAACTTAACAATTTTCATTCAAAAACAACATAAAATTAATTGTCAATTTTTAACTCAAAAAAATCAAAGAAAATTAATCTTTTTTTGAAAGTTATTAAGACTATTAATTAGATCTTTTTAATCATTATAATAGTAAAGATTGTTTTTTATTATTATATATTTTTGGTGTCACGTTGGTTCCTGGTCTCAAGTTAAAGCCCCCAACTGTATGTATATATATATATTTTAATAATTATAAATTGTTAGCTGTTTAACAAGTAAATTAACAGGAAGCCAGCGATAGTTTGGATTGTTTTTTTATGAAAAGTGGTTGTCAAAAAAATAAAAAAATTTAAAAAATTTAATTTTATAAAAAAAAACAGAAAAACCACAAAAATATTTTTCTCATCTTCAAAATCGAAATTGACTGTACCTTGTCATCATGATATAAAATGAACTGATGTCGGCGATGTGCATTTAATTATGAGTAAGTTGAGGGAATGTGTAAATCAAACAAGCAACAATTTTAATTATGGGTGAAACTTTTTTGTTTAACGATTTTTGTTTATTTTTTCAAAATACTGATTTTTGTTTAGTGTTTTTCTGTTATGTTTAGTAATAAACATATTTGTTTAAAATAATATTTAATTATAAATTTAAATATTTTAATTTTTCTTTATATATTTATTTAAAAAAATAATACAATTGTTGTTTAAAGAGGAATTACACCCTTTTTAATTCTCTTCAATAAGCTGCTAAGTAAACCACGTTTTGCTCGATTTTGTTCTTTTCTTGGTTTAAAAACATCGTTACTTTGAATTTTTGTTTTAGTATTTAGTTTAGTTTTTTATTTGTTGAACTTTTTATTTTATCCAAATGTTCTTTTTCTTCGTGTTCTATTGTATAATCTAAAATGTTTACTTTGTTAACATTCTTTTCACAAAATTTATTTTCTTCTAATGTTTCAATAAATTCTGTCACATCATTTGTTTCCAATTTTTCTTTTAATTTTTCT